ACATGATATATACCGAGGACGAGGTTTTGTCTAAGGAATATTTACAGCACAGTCTGACAAAATGGAGAATGGGACTGGAGAGCAGATGGGAGAAAATAACCAGAAAAAGACAATATATGATGTATACAGATCAGGAACAGGAAAGACAGAATAGCTTCAGAATGAGTGAAGTAGAAATGAAGAGCGTTACTTTGCTTTTTTCTATCATCTGATAGATTTGATAATGTAAATGCTTTATTTTTATTGTGGAAATTTTTATTTTAATCTTTGTCTAATGTTTGTAAATTGTTGGCATACAGTCCATAGGTGGTGGAGGGTAGGGCTGACGGTGGAACTTGGGCATCGCGGAGGAAAGGTTTTCTCTATAGAGAACGAGGGCTGTCTGGCGGCGCCGACCGTGAGGCGGGCAAAACACTTCCTCCCTTCTGATTTTCCTTTGGGCCGTTTCCCACAGCCCTGTTTCCTGCTGGACTTTGTTTTTCAGGTGCAGGATGCTCCACTTACTTTGCCACAGACCTGATACCTATATTAGTCTGACTGATTTGTTGGCAGTATGTAGCCTACGAATGATATTACCCAGCAATATTTGTTGTGCTTTCTACTGATTTAATTTAAAAAAATATATATATATATATTGTGGGTCGTTAATAGTGCAAAATTTTAAGCTTTATCAATAGCAAAAAGTTCAGCAAGAAAGATCGATGTATGATTTGGGTGTGAAACTCAAAGCATATTCAGTCGACCATACAACCGCTTTCACACATCCATCTGCCTTGGAACCGTCGGCAGATATGGAACATATGGAACTTGATTTAGCAAAACATTTCGCAAACAAATGTTTCAGCAGATTTATTTTTTACAATTCCCAGTGATATGGTGACGTCACTGACCCCGACTGCCATTAGGATGGCTCGGGTCTTGAGGCACCTTCGCGGCAGAGGTCAGCGCCAGCTGGCTGCGTCTGAGTCGAAAGATGCTTCTGACTCCACCTCAAGACGCTCGATTCGAGTGCACTTCAGGGCTCCAAGACTCACGGAAACAAACATTCAGCACAGCATCCAAACCTTTCAAATTTAAAGTTCGAGGCTGAGCCATACACGATTGACCCATAATCTACTTTAGACCTAATCAAGGATTTATATATCATTAGCAATGACTTGTTGATCAATGTGGTCTTTCCAATTGTCTACGATCAAAGAATAGACTAAAAAATTAGCAGAATCTTGAATAAGTATAGGGTGATTATCTAAAGTTAGCCTGATGTTCGTCATCCTCCTATGTGAGTAGGCCATATCGCGATGTCATGTAGGCTTTTTCTTTATCTAAAAATATTGAAATAAGTGTTTTTTTGCAATTGCCTCTTGAAAATGATTTTCAGTTTTACTTGCTGATCAAGAGTTTGGCGTCCCTTTTGGAAGCCGCATTGCTCGTCAAAAGGTAAATTTCTGGAGTTCAGAAAATGCAATAACCTACAGTTAACACTGTTCCATGGTCTTGCATAAGCAGCTTGTCAACGCAATTGGGCGGTTAGGGATGGTGGATCTAGGATTTCCCCCTCCTTTCAATATGGGGTGCATGCATCGCAATACATATCGATCAGTCCTTTTTATTTTGGTATGGGTATCGCCTTGGCCACTAACAGCATTTTTTTACCGGTATCCACAGTATGTTTTTTTCAAAATGTGTCAAAATAATTGATGCATCGATACAATTACAGGACCGATTTGATATTAAATTTAACATTTAAGAATTTCAAAATAACTCTTCTGCATTTTATATCAAATCTTATTTGTGATTATCATTTGTTCTTAAGGCTTTTAATGTGCCGTTAAAAATAAACAAGGGTACTGTTCGTCTTACTCTGCATCCATGTTGCCAATGAGGATACTGAATTGTAATAAGGGAGGGTTGAAAGTGAAGAAGACTGTGGAGGACAAGGAGATGGACTGGGGGATGTTGGGGGAGAGGAAAGAATGTTTTCTGAAGGTTGGGTAATGACCTGCCTGGGAGCTTTGGAAGGGATTGACCTGACAGCAGGTATCGAGGCGGGGGAAAGAGTGGTGGTCAGAGCCGTGATCAAAGGAGAGCCAGGGGCTGAGGGTTAATGTCATTGGGGTTAGTTGATAAATGGGCAAGCCTCAGTGCTACTAACAAAGGAGCAAAATCATTACTGGCCATTGTAAGCCTGGAGTATGTGGAGAAGATAATAACTAAACGGGAATACCATGCATATGGCTCCCTGAGGTTATTCAGGACTGACCCAAAGAGTTGAAGACTGTGCAAAATTGGTTGAGTTTTGGGGTGAAGCCTAAGGTAGGGGAGATCCCCAACATTGGGCCTCTGCTTCCGTCTCCTAAAGCCCCACAACAACAAAAAGCTTGAAATTGGGAGGCCAACAATTAAAAAATATAGTTTATCCCCCAATCCTTCTTTGCTGAATAATAATAATACTGATCATATCCAAATACACTTCAACAAGAGTTAAGGCAAACATAAAACATCCATCCTGAATATATGTTTATTGTCTGAGATTAAATACACCAGAAAATATATGTTCATATATTTATATATGTATTTACTGAGGACTGGTCACACCTATGGGAAACGTATGGCATTGCTCACTATCAATATCTCTTAATCATGATATAATCACATTATGTCATGTCTGGTCTGCTGGACAAGCCTACCAAGTAGATTTAATATTTGCACGTAAATATGACAGTTTAATCGATATCATATAATATAAAAATATATAGATATAGTTAAGATAATCATTATATCATATTAAATATATAAATAATTGAGTGATTTTTAAACTGGACAACCATGCCTTGGTAAACCCTAGAGACCAACTTTCCATCAGCGAGTGAGACAATCATGAAAACTTACTGGCATAGTTGGTAATGCTCTGATTCTGCTGTAGTCGTTATGTTTTCTTCACGACCTTGGATAGAAAGTCAATAACTGAAAATAATATAACAGGTTAATATGTATTGTAGTTGATAGGTAGAGTAGCTACATAATCTGTCACACCAGAATTAAAATAATCTTTTAGTAATTGCAATATACTTTATTCATGGAAACATCTGACTTTTCATGTAGAAAGTACCATCAACATTGGTTCTCGTTACAACAGATTTAGTTTTTAAATGAGTATCATTCACATAAACAGTACCTGCCTCATTTATGCTTACGGCAATCCTTATTCACTATAGCAAGCAGCTACATGATAAACCACATATCCTCATCAGGATGTTTTCCAAATGGGGTCAACAAACCTCTTCAGGAATCTACAAGTTGTTCAATGCAAGGCAGACATCATGAGCATCTATGTCCTCATTCCATTTACTCACAGGCTTCTAAGTTCATATTCAAATATTTCCCAAGTAATATAGCATGAAACTAAATAATCTATTAAGCATAATTTTGTTTAGCCCTAACAGATTACAATAGTTCAAAAGGTTAATTAAAAATAAATATAGTTCATACTAAAATGAATAAAAAGGTTAGTAATACCCTTTCCATTTCTACCTTGTAATTCTACTAAATTTCTTGTTATTCTCATCACTAAGCTTTACATACATTACTATCAAAGTCATTTGCAATCAGAGTTGGGAAGTACTTCTGCTACTTTTGGACTTTAAAACTGTATTCCACACAGTATTACTAAAATACTGATTACTGTAACCACTAAGAAAATGGCTCTTAAATTACTAGCCATGCCTCTAGCAGTACTTAAAAAGAATGTACTAATAGCTTCTGCTAGGTAGTATTTCCTGTACTCATGGTTTTGCCATTGAATTTTGTGACTAGTACTGTTAGAAGTACCTCCAATATTTTTCAAGCCATTTTTCAAGTGAGTGTGCTAATTGGTACTTTTCAGTGTATAAATATATATGTGGAAGATGATTTTAAAAGTACCAGAGTTAACAATGTTATGAATGTTCTCCAGATCAAACCTGCTTTACCAATGTCAAAATGACCTTCCTTGTATCATACAACTTTAAACTCTCTACATTTAAGTCATTTAACTGATCATTAAATGAATGTCATGTAATTTATCCAATATAAAATAAAACTATAATAAATGAGGTATGTCTAATATATTCATCTATTTCACTACTGCTCCACAGGACAGTTCACAGACTACTCCAGTAGATCTGTCATTCATATGAAGATAGATGTACAGTTATATCAATTATATTGTTTTACATATTTCTGTGATTGAAGCAAATTAAAGAGATTCTTCTACGTAACTGCAGAACAAGAACCAGACTAGATACAGCTAAAAATACTATAAATCCTAAAGAGAAGATTCACACTTCTAAAACTAGTCACCGTGAAACTGACACTGTGGCCTAAAAACTGAACATTGTACATAATCATTATCTTAACAAAATTAAAGCTCAATTTAAGCCAAAATTTTAGCAGTCATATAAAAAATAATCATTGCCAAATTCCTAAAAACAATACTGCAAACTTATATACTAAAAAAAGGGAAATACCCCCTCAACCTTAAAACAAATTCACTTTGGAAATCAGTGTCATTTGAATTTGTGCATATGTGCATCATTCATTAAAAGGGAAAAAACTACACAAAAAGGCAAAGCAAAAATCAGTCAATGCCTTCTGAAGAATGAATACATCAAGATACATAACAGTTTGTGAATTGTAATATGATTAAAACTATGACTTTGGTAGTTGCTAGTGCTTGTCAGAATACACAGTCTTTGCACTATTGTCACTTTTATAAAGCCCAAACATAATCTGAGTTGTATATAAAATACTGGGTACATCAGTTCCATTTGCTCCCCATATATCATTACAAACAGAAAAGAAAAGAAAAAAAAAACACTGAAAACCTTTCAATCTAGGAAACAACTAAATACAAAATTAAGATCAGCATCAATTTTTTTTGTCATACAGTCTGTGAATTTTAATTATAATATTAATAACAATAATAATAATAAAAAACGTGTTCAGTCACAATATGGACTGAGAAAACACTTGAAGTTTCCAACACCTTTCCTTTATTTCAAAAATTTTGCCACTTTTAAGTTCCAATACTGGCAGTTGTTTGTACTAAGCAGTTCCCTAGGCACTTTTCTCTTACAATACATCAAGAATGCTTCAATAAAGAGCCATAAGAGTTATAAAAAAAATAATAAGTCAGGCTTGTATACTTTAACATCATGAGTAAATATTTTTAATTTTTCTCATTGCTATTCATGGATAAGCACCATGAGATGCATCATAAATGGGGTTTCTCATGACATGACGAGGAGTGCTGAGGGGTGACTCTTGCGGAATTCCATAGACAGCATTGAAAGCAGCCCTGTAGCTCTGTTGTGATGCTAAAGATGACCTAGTGGATCCTACAGTATCCTTTTGATGTAATCTAGGACTATCTCCCTTTGGAGGCTTCAACCCATCTTGTAGAGGAGGAATTCCACCCAATGGACCACCTTCCATTTGGGTAAAAATTGTTGATACAGAGTTGGTAGCAGCTAACTGTTTGTGTCTGAAACAGCAATTGTTATTTCTATATAAATCTGCTGTGGTACATTAAATATCTTGAGACTAAAATAACCTATTTTGGTTCAAAATTGCGGAATGTGCTTCTGTTAAAAGATAAAGCAATGATATCCATGATATTTGCATTAGGAAAAAGTTCTGACACATTTATTTTATCTGTCAAATTATAAGTATACATAAATATCACAAAACTCATGTAAAATACATGCAATTTCACCCTCAAAAATTACTTTTTAGAGAAACAATTTTCATAAAAACATGAATATGCTATGCAGCCCCTAACAAGTCCTTAGTGAAAAAAAATCAGCCTCTCCCACACAAAGATTATCATTTACTAATAAGTAATTTACACCTAAATTGAAGCAAACATTTGTGCTCAGAAAAATCGGACTGTAAAGGCGCTTTCACAAATTTAGAGAATAGATTAATAAAAGCTTAAGAAAAAAAATTGGGGTAAAAATAGTCACCAACCTCTAATTCTATTTCTTTCAAGCAAATATAATCAGTGGGCTAGAAGAAGAAGAAGAAAAAAAAACAAAAAAACAAAAAAACAAGGAACCCAACAAAAATATTTTTTTCTGGTTTGCAAGCAGAGAGTTATCTTAACCTCCCATTATTTAATCAAAAAGAAATATAAACCATGACAACTTGCAAGCCAAACAACTTGGAATCTTTACCTGAATTCCTTAGCTTGATGAGCAATGATCCTCATCTTAGGTATGAATACAAGGCCTAAGATAATTGATGCAAGAGCCAGGAGAGCCACACTGGTGGTGGGTGCTTCCATTGGGGCTGGAGCCATGTAGCTCATCACAGTCCACACACCAACAACAGGAGCTGATACACATGATGTTAACAATAACCAACGGCCCTGGAATGTAAATTTTATGTGAAATTGCCTACGCAGGATATTTCTAAGGTTACTTTTAAAATTAGTTGTCTTAACCAGTCATATTTAAAATATATATACTGTGGCTTTTTATCTGCTTACCTCATTGTGGTTTCTATGGATTTTGCGGTTCAGGGTCCCAAGAACAAGAGTGATTAGGAGTAGAACCATCAAATAAATTCGAGTTGAAAGTGTGGCCACACGGTTCTCTCCACAGTGACGCTCGCCATCTAGTCCTATCTTAACTAGAGGTTCCTCTCCTGCTCCTTGTCCACCAGCATGACCCAGGACACACAGTGATCCTTGCACACCCATGATGAACAGCAGGGACACATGCAGATTCACTTGAGAGACCTAGAAATAAAATTCATTACCATGGAATCCATTTTCATTCTAATTATTTGCACTTCATCTGATCAGGTTTTCTGAAGTTTCAAGTTCATTTAAATAAATTTATTTACCTCTCCTCCCAGGCCAACAGACACAAGAGCCCGAAGATGCATAGATTTCACCAGAAGAATGCCATAACACAATGCTAGACACATGGGTGGTGCCCATTCTCGCACAGCACAGGTGATGGGCATGGGGGGCAGAACGTACACTACACAAGATGCATATGTACCCATAACTCCAATTAGCAGAACAGCACCCAAAACCTTATGGGGAAAAAGAAACTTTAGACACTTCAAAAATTATTACGAATAGCTTCATGAATCATATTCAAGAGTAAGAACTAATCCTTAACAATTAATTATTCTCACCTGAGGTCCAGTGAGTGTTCCATCACACACCCTGAGGGCGACATACACAGCCACATATAAAGCCGCCATCACACCCATACATGCAAGTACTAACACAGAGAAAGCCCACGTTCGGCCAACATAGTCCTGGGGAAATTAAGGGGCTTCAGTTTTCATAAATAAATTAATATATATCAACAGGGTAGGACACGAGGTTACTAATAAAACTCTTCATAACAGACATAAACAATGTTCAGTTAGACCTCTACACAAAACCTGCCGGGAATATACCTCATGAGTAAGCAGAACAGCTTGGACACCACTGTTGTTTTCCTCTCCATCTTCTGGCGCCACCAGGCCCAAAGTTCTTCCCTCGCGCCCGTGGACACCAGAATCCGCTCCCCAAACCTCGCCTGGCGACCACACAACACCGGTATCCTCACGATAGACGCCAACCTAAGAAGAGAACCCTGGTAAGTAAGCAGAGGAAGCTACCACAGTGATGAGGCATTGTGAATGCTACTGTTCTCTTGAAAATCCTTACATACCCAAAAGCAAAGCACTTATGTTCCTTCAATAATAATCCAACCAATGATATATAAGATCCTCAACGGCATTCCCAGGAAACAAATATACATAAAATCCATTGTATTTGTTGAGGATTTTCCAAGACTTTTCTGTGGATCGTGTCCCTTCTCACCTGACGGAGGCCCTCGGATGAGACCCGCTTTATGGTAAAGGTGTTGACCAGACGGCCATCAGCAGTGTACCGAATGCGGTCTGCGCCGCCGCCCACAGTGAACGACAGTTTAAGCAGAGCCTTCAGGACGTCTAGAAACAAGAACAGTTGTAGATCAATTAAATTATTATTATTGTTATTATCATCTTTCATACTATTCTAAATATGTCCCATAAAACAACCAATTTTCTAAATTCTTATGTGAACTCTACCGTTCACCCCGCTCCCAAAGCCGCAAGCCACATGTTGCTTTTCCCTAAGACATGTCTAGGAGGACGAAAAGACATCTAAACACATCGAAAGACAAGTTCACCTTCGTGCAGGTCCTGACGAAGCGCCTGCAGGCAATGAACACCCTTGGAACAGCGTTCAATTTGAACAAGTCTGAAGGCAGCAGCCAGGGAAGACACGGCCTTGACAGTGGCTGTGGTAGGTGCGCCGCTCACCAGGCGCCCGACGTCGTCAGCATTCAGCATTGAACAAGGGGAATCGGAGACCTGAGAAGACACAACGCAGGAGATTAATGCGAGTATATTGTGACTGTTAATGTCATCGTCTTTTTGTGCAATTCCATGCACTGTTACATCCAAAATGTAAATATTAATGTGTAAACAATATCATATATGCGAAACAGGCACACGTGCTAGCGATGCAGCAGTAACAGAAAATAGCATCAACTCCGCGAGCCTCAGCCCGGCGGGCCAGCCAGCTGACCTCGGGGTCGCAGTGCGAGGAGGCGCGCAGTGAGCGGCGGGCGAGCGGCGCCACCACGGAGGTGTTGTCGGCCACGGCGGAGGCGAAGTACTGCGTGAATCCCGGGATGACGGGCGAGTGCGCTTCCACCAGCAGCGACCCCGGCAGTTTCTTTCGTAGCTGCGAAGAGAAGAGCATTTAGATAACGCCCGTAGATAACGAAAACAAAATAACGAAGGCAATAGAAAATACACGAAAGCCTATCCAAAGAAAAATCCTCAGCAGTGACCTGTTCTTCATGCAGGCCCCCGAGCGAAGGTTCGCCGTCCAGTGTCGTCAGCACCCAGCGAAGCCTCAACTTCCTCAGCAGACGCACCTCCAACTCGGCAGTCAGTAGATTGATCTCTGCGGCGCTGAGGAGCACCACCACCACACCGCCGTAGCCCTGCGGGAGGAAAGGGGCGGTGTCTCAGCTGGCGCAGTTCGTAAGGCCCGGCGCGCTGACTAAGCGATGCGATATTTTCTCGTCTTAACAAATAAACGTTGGAGAGGAAATCAACTCCACGTTGGACTTAGACTAGAATCTGCAACCCTTCGTGCGACCCTTGCTACCACTTCTGCTGCAGTTAACAACAATAATAAAGACAGCTGTGAGACCATTGCCACTATCAGGCTCTGACGCTGCAAGCGCTGTCGCTGCGGAGGCCTCGCGGGGCGCACTTACCACCTGCCCCGTGACGAAGCGCGCCACGTCCCGCCCGAGGCTCGTGGCGTCCTCCGCCTGCAGCGTGTGGAGGATCTTGATCCCAGCCCGCGCTGCCCTCTCCTGCAGGACGCGGGTGGCGTGGTCGCAGCTGGACACGACACTGACGCCTACACCTGCGCCCCCGAGACGCACGGCCGTGGCCAACACCGCCTGCGGGAGAGTAAAGAAAGGCGTGAAATTCAGCTCGTGCACTCGCACGCCAATGAGTGACTCGAATTAACTCCTGCAGTCAACACTTAATGAATGTTCATCGCTGACACGAACCATGCAGATGCAACTTACTTTCATCCTCATTCCGTTCTCTATTTTTAGGAGGGGGGGGGGTAAAAATGCACATCATCATCGGTGAGAGTAAAAAGAAAGACGGGAAAAACGTTCGTGGACTTTGACGAATTCGCGTCCGACTGCACTTCACCCGACACGCACAGCAATCCGCTCCGGATCACTGGCCCCGAGATGGCCTCGCCGGAGCCGACACAAGATTGAGGTCGGGCGTGGCAGCAAAAACGAAAGCAGCCAGCCCTCGCACTGCGGGAGGGATTATCAGCAAAGAAAATGGGGCAAGTTTCCCGCAGAAGGTTAAAGAGGTAACAGAAACACAGGCCGGGCCGCCCGGCCTCTGACTTTCCACCATTGTA